AAACAAAAAAGGGTTTCTCAAACAAAAAAACTGTGCCATTAAAAAAAGCACACGTCTGCTTAGGCAATAAACAGCCTTTTCCCCACTGCTGGTATTCTGAACTTCAGATCTGTTTTTTGATGGGTGTGCGTGGCAACTTCTGCATGAAAGATGGTCTGCATGGCTAAATGGTCTGAAGCTGCTGCTGCTGCAGCTGGAATGCTGGAACTAGGGATGAACTACCACATGTGACTCAATCAATCACTCAGACATTTATTGTGAGTGTTTCAAGCATGGCCACACATTCTTCCAGTTCAATACACTAAATCATTTCTTGTGATCTGATTGGAAAGAGGAGAGCTGGAGAAGGAACGACTACATGCACCATGGAAAAGACAGATATTTTCAAAAAATACAGGTTACATTTTGGTATGGAAAAATCAACCATGTCATCAAGGGTGCCTGCTAGAGAAGGAGGGGCAAGTGAAGCAAGTGTGTCATTACACAAATTGTGCAAAGTACATTATGGGCATCATCTGCACGATGACATCATGAGATGCGTGATGGACCTGTGGCTTGTACCAGACATCTATATCTGTTATTGATAAAATGTTACACTTTTACATGATAAACAAAGAGGAGGGGCAGGTATGTCTGCAACTCCGTAAAAGCTGTCTGTGCCCTTGAAGACAGAATATAAATTCAGAATAGATTTGTTAATAATGAAACTAGCCCTTGTTTTCTAATTTAAAAAAAAAGAATCAGTTCTACTTTTGTCTCACGTATTCTGCTGAACAATCATTAAAAACTGGTCTGAATCTTAGAATTCAAAATGTATGGATTACCCTCATGGATTAAACCTCAACTTGTTTCACGATTCGCACAAAAATATTTTACCCGTTTTCACATACTCCTAATAAAGTGACCACAAGAGCACAACCTGTCATTTCAAGCTTTAAAATTCTGTAAGGAAAGAAACTTTTGTCAATATGAATGTAAAAAGTGGCTTGTGCATCTTCAACACTGAAGGGAAAACTGACATTCCTTAAACTGTGTACTGCTGGCATTGCAACTGTGTTACAAAGGATTTCAACTACTTCCATACAGATACCTAAATCTTTGTTTCTACTCACAAACTATAATTATATTCATATTCTCCAAAGGTACTCTCTGGAAACAGAATCTAAAAACGAAGTGTGACAAACACATTATTAACCTTTGGTTTTAGCAAAGTTGACCTGGTCAGGATGCAGATTTCAGTGAAGCTGTTTTCCAAGAAGAGACAACATTGTCATTTGCGTGTCATGTATAATAAAAATGTTTCATCAATGTGGCCTGAGTTTGCACGTCTCAAGCTGGCAGTCCAACTTCTCTTGACAAATGTCTCAAGGAGCTCACCTAGGCAATCTTAAACATTACGCCTGAAACATTACAATCCTATGTAAAAAATACTTTTATGCAGAACTGGAAACATATATAACATTCCCATTTGACTGGAAAGATCACATGTATCTGTGTCATGAAGGCAAGGGAATTGTAGAAACTTTTCCAAAACGGTGGTCCCATGTAGGCCCACAATCATGTCTGTAGCCATGGCAACCCTAATCTTAAATATCTTAGGGAGAAGGACTTGCTTATACATAAGGCAACACCCTCTGAGAAGTGATGACATTATGTACTCTTCTTAACAACCACTAAACATCATCTAGGCTTAAGATGTTAGTGGATTCTCTGGACACAGTCCAGGGAAATGAAAGAAAAATCAGGTCTCTTCAACATACTCTAACCTGAATACAATATAGCTGTAATAACTTGGCACATATGAATGGGTCTTCATAATTTCAACATTGCTTATAATGATTATTATTATTATTGTCTCAAAACATGGAGTAGGGTTAACACCATTCCAAAAAGCATAGTCAAGTGGTGTTTATGCAAGGGTTCACCTGTTGTCCACAACAGAATCTTTCTAAATAAAAATATGTGGGATTAGGTCTACTCAGATTGTCAGTTGGGGGCAAAATATTAAGACACTACTGAAACCTCCCAGTAATTAATTTAATTCAGCATTAATGTAATGCTAAATTAAAAAGAAATGGCACTGACATGTTTCAAGAGAAAAAGAATTTTCAACTTTTTTGCAGACATGCTTTGCAGATTATTTATGCAATGCTATTCTATACAATAGGATGCTTTATGAAGTGTGTTTTAGCCATGGCCTAGTCTTTGGTGTGAAAGTTCTCAAAATTGTGAACACATTAGCTATTGACCACTGGAAACAGCTCATTTTAAATGAACAGTGACTGAAAGAAGCCCTACACCAAATGATTAATTTCACTTGTTCCCATTCAGACATGTCAAGTCCTAATATTGAAATATTCATAATATTTATGGAAGATGAATTTCAAGCCCAGTGCTAAGGTCTATTCCAGTCTCAAGTTACACACTGTTCTGTAATACTTGAGAACTTTAAGATTTAACATTCTTGCACCGACAACTTGATTTTCTCAATTCTGCAACCTTTAGTTGAATAATACCCAAAAGAGCACGTGAAGGTTAAGTTCACCAAGAGAAGACTCAATATCTTCAATTTTCAGAATGTCAGAATTCCAAGTTCTTCAGCTGTTCATAAGTTACAAAGAACTAGTGCTTGACATTAAGGAAAAAAGGCAGTGTTGAGTTGCTGCTAAATGAGAGAGGCTCTTTAATTACATCTAGTTCCCTTTCCTCTTGTTTTTACAGCAAATCTGCTCACACTTCTTGTAGTGTCTCAAACAGGTAGATTTGTTGAATATATTTAGGCAGAATTTTACTTCCTTTTTATATATGTAATAATTCCCCTGTCCAGTGCATTCTAAGTCCTTTTTAAAATTCCATCCAGACTTTTACAACTGGAGATTAAGAGAATGCTAAAAAGACATGGATTAATATTTGCTTGCTATGATATGTATATACAAGAATCTTGAATTTGGATCTCCAGTCCCCATTTCACAAGCCACCAACTTGTACTCCATTGGTGGTAACATTTTGAACTTTATTGTTACTATTTTTTTGCTTTTACATTTATTCAACAGCTTTATTGCCTGCTATTATTCTATAACATCTAATATATTTTAATATGGTTTTAAAGGTGTTTTTATTTGGTTCAACTATTATGACATCACTTAAGGGGATTAAGAATAGAATAGATACAGAAAAAAAAAACCCAAACATTTTTTATATCCAAATTTCTTAACAGAGTTCCCATTCTAATCTTATAATTCATTAAAAGTATGTCTTAATGAAGAAATCAACTCCATCCATAGAGATTCCTATGTTCTTATTATGGGATGGAAAATGTGTTCAAGTCGTAAGACCTTGAAACAGACCATTTCCAACATCAGCCACTCACTAGTGTATTTCAGAATAAGGAAGTCAGAGCAATCTGTCTTAAAAAGTATTAAATACATCACACTTCTTACAGAATGCTTTCTTATAGGATAAAAAGCAAGTGAAACAAAGTATTTTTAATCTCTACACCAAAATAATACAAATTAGCAAGAAATTAAATAACTTGGTAAATAAAAATTGCATACACCTGCTATTATGGTCCCACTATTATCAGTGTAGAAAATGAATGAGCTTTGAGTTAATTACAGTGGGGCAAAAAAGTATTTAGTCAGCCACCAATTGTGCAAGTTCTC